GAGCATCTTATCACAAGAAATCATTTCTACAAAATGTATCCAACCTATGAGTCAAAAAATCTGTGAGATGTTGTTGAAAGTAGCATTGAGGATTGCTTAAAAAATGTTTGTAATTTCATAGAAAACTTGGATACTTCTGAATTCTCACTTAGTACTTTAAGAGAGGCCATGGAAGATCGTGTAATAGATAACAGAACTTTAAAAAACTAAAAGAAAAATACAACAAAGATACTACCATCAGTGTGGGAGCAGGCCGCCAAGAAACAGTGTCTTACTACAAATCTGTTAAGGTAGTACTGTCGTATATAGATTTACCTACAAGATTTTGATGAAATTTTGCAAGCAAGCTTATATTAGCGTGCAAATGACTCAATTTAAATTTTGTGGACATAGGATATGTGAGAAAGAAGTTATAGGCGTTTTTCGTTTTGGACAATCAACACGCACTCTTATGGAAGTTCGCGTTGTTCGTGTATTTAATTACGTGCAGCGAAAAAACTACCTACATGATCTTGGGGAAAATTTGCAGAGCGTATGATTGAAATCGTAAGAACATCATGCGACTCTAAAAACGCAGATAAGATAGCTGTGAGAGTTGCGACAAAAGATTTAACAATAAAAAATGTCATAAATAGCAGATAGCTGATTATAAAAGCGGTAATGTGGCAACCCCGCAGAATAGGTTAGAGCGCGCGCTCCATTTCAAATATTTACAGTATGGCACTTACGAGACATAAGTCAGTGATGGTGTCGAGCGAAGTCAAAATTGATGATTAATGTTTTAATTTTTTAATAGTGGGTCAGTATATATACAGTTATACGAGTAAATTCGAAGTGGATGATGATAAAAAACGTTATTATTGTAAATGATACATTTTTATTATAAAGGAACATAAATTGTGAAACATTTGTTTTCAATCGACAATTACACAACTACATATTTTAAAAATAGTTACAAACAGTAGAAAACTGTCTGATTAATTTAATAATTTGGTTTTGAAACAATGTCGAGTAGATTTTGTAAATATGCATACAATTTATCCAAGATTTGTTTATTCTTTGTTACTTTAACAAATCCATTTTCATCTTCTCCAAATAAATTCAAAAGTCCTTCAAATTTTTCTTTTTCAAAAGCATCAATAACCATATCATATGTTATTTGTGCAGCGACTAACTTTTTCCTCATATTAAGAGATAAACATTCATCTAACGCGGTTAAATTTTTTAGGAAATTTGGTAAATTTTTGGAATACTGAATTTTTCTCTCAACGTCGCTCCAAGTACAAACATTTTGGTATAAATCACTATTCTTGATTTTTAGTTTCTCAACAACTTGCTGTAACATAACAACGTCTTGTAGAGCATCGTGTGCTTTATTACAGCTTATATCAAATAGTTGAGCTAGAGTCTCTAATTTGTTGCTACCTTTGCTGTTTTTCCCAGTGATTCTTCGTGTGATACGAAGAGTATCACAGAATCCATGAACTATGCTCTGAAAATGTTTGGTCATAAAAACTTTTTCAAAAGCAGCCATCAATCGTGGGCGGTCGAACGCACAGTTGTGTGCTGTTAATATACACGGTTTTTTAAACAAACAAAGGAACTCATAAAAGGCCAACAAAGCTTCTGACAATGAGATAGTAAGGACAGGTTTTCCATGTAATTGCAGGACTCCATCTGTCAGCCGCAAACCATGTACCCCACTGGCTTCTTCTGAAATTTTTTGCGCTGGCTTAATGTATACAGAGAACTCATAATCCTTATATTTAGCAGCTAACTGCAGAATATCGCTAGATTTTGAAAGTCCGCCCGTTTCCAAATCGAAAAAGATGATTATTGATTTTGAGTTCAAGTTAAAAGTTGCGATCGGGATGGTTTCCACTTCAACACTACATAAACCAATATTACTCTCATACGTGATGCCTTCTTCGGTTTCTTTTCTGTTTTTTAGTCCCGTTTTTGATTTCTTCAAAGCTAATCTCCTTAATTTTGTGCTACGCGCTACAGACTTAGCATATCTTTTTTTGTGGAAGGAGTCTACTTTACCGTAGTATTTTGCAGAATATTTACCTGGTGACAAACTTAGTTTCTCAGCTAGAGTCAAATTATATTTTTCACCAAAGTTTTTTTTATTGATTGCACTAGCTACTCTAATATCACTTGATGCCGTTTTGCCATACAGCCTCGTTTTAGGCGCCTTGCTAACAATCATAGCATTCAAGCTTTCATTGGCATTGCTTGAGGCATTAGAAACAAATTGACTAGATTTCGTAGATAGAGAATTAAATATATCTTTTAAAGCGTTGAATAAAATATCACTATGAAAGCCATCGCCAATATTCGAGTGTACGTAATTTTCTTGCTCTGTCTTATAATTGCACCAATCTCCACAATTATTGTGAAAATTAAAACAATGATATGGTATATTTTTAATTGCACTTGCCATGGCTAAACTGTTTCCTTGATTTTGTGATACGCAATACGTAAAACATTTTTTAAGGTACTGAATAGCAACACTGTTCAGTTCTTTATGACTTTTTTGAATTTTGTACGGTTATTTGTTTTTTACTTTTTTTTGATACGTACCTTGTTATAATGTTTATTAAAATAAATTAGTTCTTACAATAATTGCGCTGATAATCAATTTAAAAAGTATTAATTTTTATTGACGTTTAATAAATCCACGGCTTTAAAGAAAAAAAATGAGTTTATTGTGTCAGTTATAAACTAACAATCCTCACTGCTTTCTTATTAACATTAAAAATACCTTTTAATTAAGATCAATAACACTCACTAATCTCTGATAGATAGTAATTAGAGTTGCAAATCTTGTTTTTTTTCTTAGTAATAATAATAATTTAAAAATAAGCGCTTAAAGCAAATAACACAGTGAGCTTGAGTGTATTCGCTATAAAAAAATAACATTGTTATTAGAAAAAGCACCTTCAACCTAAAAACTTATTGTACTCAACTATTTTTGTTTCAAACAAATCATAGTATTAATAAAACAAGCACCTTTTACAAAATCATTAGTGCGCTCTCGTAATTTATCTTTTTTTAATTTATCTTATTTATCTAAGAAACGAGCGCTTATAAGACAATGACCCATTATGCTCCAGTATTTTTATCTCAAATAAATTCAAAGGTTAGTTAATAAAACATCACCTTTAACGGAAGAATCGAGTACGCCCAAGACTTCTTGATTTTTTTTAATTACTTAACGTAATTGATAAATCATGATAATGTTGATTAATGATAAGACACTTTTATCTTAATAATACAATGCGCTTATGTCGCTTCATTAGAAACAAGTTCTGCATCTTTTTTAATGAATATCATAATAAATTAAAATTGAAAAAACTCAAGCAAAACAAATCGTTCCGTCAAAAGTGCTTGTTGATTGATTCAAATTTTAATTTATTCAAGGTGGTTCTTCACGATGGTGCCGTATCAAAGCGACACGGGACCCCGTGGTTTTCTAATTTTCGATTAGCGTATTATTTGCAACATAAAATATGTTGTACTGACACTACTGATACTATAATATCATTGCATTTACATACAAATAAACATACTAATAAAGTCAGAGTAAGAGTTATGAAAAAATTTTTTTTTGACGCAAGGTTCTGAAAATGGCATGTACGCTCCTACTAAAGCACACGTTGCCAACGATTTCCGCATGATCGATAACTGATTACGTTTACGATTAAATATCGTATACGATTTCCCTGATTAGCCCATACTTTTGTTATATTATGAGAAAGCTGAAAAGTTCTTCTTTCACTACAAACTTTTTCTATTAAGATCTTAAGTCTACTTTACGAGATATTACATGATATCGTAGTATGGAAAAGTAACCTACATAAGAATACATGTTAGAAGTGCATTTTTTGACTGACTTGTTTTCAAAAATTTGCCTGATAAAGGGACTTGAAATTTTAAGAGAAGATGCCTTATAACTTTAATAACAATCCCTCTAAGTTTCCCTGTAAGTTTAAGTAAATGGGTTAGGTGAAGAACCACCTTAAGGTAGTAGTCGATCAAAAACACTTTTCTTACAATTTTTCTAAAATTTTGTGTGTGCCTTAAGATTGCTATTATTTATCATGAGCCAAAATTTGAAGAGGCTTAGCGGTATTGTTTTGGAGATATTAAAGTTTTAATGTTGAACTTTTAACACAGGAGGTATAGGAAAGCGCCGGATTGGGGGTCGATTTGTGAACGAAATTGCTTATATCTCTAAAACGCTTCTTACAATGTTTCGTAAAAAATAGTATGATATAATTTATATTATAAAGCAACTGTGGTTCCAATTTAAAAGGGCTCAGCGGTATAGTTTTGTTGTTCGAGCTTTGCAAAGTTGATAAATTCAGTGAAATTCGCTCCTACAACGTTGTCATTTTTCGAGATAGTTGTCGAAGCGATATATATAGTATACGCATACGCTACAGCGCATTATGGCACGCACTGTAGAGTGCTCGACTACTACCTTAANTTGAATAAAGTATAATCAATGGAGTTAGACGATGAAGGGTCAGCTCCAAGTTATTCAAGTAGCTCAGACAGTAGTACTGAGGAAGATATTGAAATTATAGATAATTACGAGATTGAAAAATTTGCAGGAAATAAAAAAGACAAAAAAAATAGTGCGATTAATGAGGTTGATAAAAAGGAAAAAGTTTATTTGCCTGGAACCCAATTAGAAGAAGGTGAAGAGTTAGTGGCAGATAAATCTGCTTATTGCATGCTTCACCAAGCACAGACTGAAGCACCATGCCTTAGTTTTGATGTAATTAAAGACAGATTTGGAGATTTGAGAGAAAAATACCCTCTATCCATGTATTTGCTGGCTGGTACTCAAGCAGCCAGAACGAACGTAAACAATTTACTAGTAATAAAAATGTACAATCTTCATGGCAAAAAATTGAAAAACCCTGACTCTGATTCTGATGAAAGTATAAAGTATGATTCTGAAGAAAGCAGTGAACAAAACGAAGATGAAGAAGCCAAATTTCCTAAAATGAGGGTTGCTTCAATCAAACATCAAGGATGTGTTAATAGAGTTAGGTAAGAAGTAGAAGTGTATGATTATTTGAAATATTTCATTTAAACGAGTGAATGCATTATTTTATAGCCCAGAAATACACTGATATACATATTCTTGAAAACGAATGCTTTAATTACTGCTAATTAGAAAGGTTTCATTCCATGCGAGGAGGTTAATTTTCTTAGTCGGTAGGTACATCAGGGGACACTACCTCCAGATAAATCGCGGTATTTCTGAAAAATTTTCCTTGCTTCTTCAAACACACATCATACAATAAATTAAATTTTTTAATTAAGGTGGCGCATGCGTGAGTCTGAGGTCAATATGATGTACAAAAAAAGTAAAGCAAAGAAGGTTTATATTATAAACAAATTTATACCTAAAAAATAATATTTAAAAAATGGTGATTTTTGACACTCCTAAAGTTATAAAATAATAGGTATGTATAAATTTACACGAGTAAGATAATAGTTTCGCCCGTGACTCGCAGTGTGTGCTGACCGGAAACTCTTGTTGTCTGCGGAATTGCTGATGGGTGCATATGTGAAGTGCTATGTACTGTAATCCAATCTAGTCATCTGTACATATAAAAGCTGCCTTGGTTCTATGCAGAGATTTACATGTTTTTATTTAACTTTAAATATTTTGTTTCAATATTATTCTTGTGAGAGACTAAGCCTTTGTCAACGTTTATAAATTATAAGCAAAGAGGAAAATAAACGTGTTGAACATGGATCGTTATACATTATTTCTCATAACTGGTAATACTTAACTTCAAATTATTACATGGAGTAACTTATCATCATAAAATTGCAAATATTTACAAGAGAGAAATGTACCAAAGAATTGTATTGGGAATTTTCGATAGAAAGGTACATCATATGATCGTTCACGTATTTGAATTTCGTGCCATATCAATTTGGGCGAACATCTGGAGTGCTAAACTTTGCTTTGAGGGGAATGCCGTCCCGTCTTGCATCACTAGACTTCATGTGTGTATACTTATGTGTGCTTTATTTATACTCTGCCTGGCAAATCATAATAGCCAGTTACTTGAAAAGTTATTTTCAATGACGTAAAAGCAAATTTATAAGACAAAAGCTATATTTATTTATGTTATAAATTAGCTTAAATACTGGCTTTCAAAAGTTTTTGTAGAGCTAAGGGAGCCTGTACATGAGAGACTTGCACTTGCAGGTTCAGATCAGATCGCCATAAGCCCGTGCGAGTGCGAGAGAGATGCAAGAATATATGTTCTCTCTCTCGCTCTCAATATACTTATAATTAAAATAAAAATAGAATTTTTTGTCTTTTTTTGAGGTTGTATGCTTTCCTGTAATATTATCTTGAATAATGCTATTCTGGGAATGCTTATCATGGAAATCACCTTACAGAGTAAGAAAGGTAAAATAACTTATGATTAACGTTAAAGCTATTATAAAATCTGAAAACAATTCCTGAAATAAAAGGAATACGATACAAAAAAGAAAAAAAAATTCTGTCTGAAAACTACGAATTGAAAAATTTTCCTACTTTAAGAAGGTACGCATCTAAAATTAAAATAAATTTAAAATCTTGTTAGACATGTTCTTGTAAACTTTCTGGAAAATTTTTCTAAGAAATTATTTGAGAAATTTCTTAAGAATTTTCTCAAGTATTTTCTTGAGAATTTTCTTAAGAATTTTCTTAAGAATTTTCTTAAGAATTTTCTTAAGAATTGTCTTAAGAATTTTCTTAAGGACTTC